TGTGTCTTCTAGGCTTTGCGACAACTATTGCCATATTCATTCGGGTATTTTCAATGCATTGGTTCTCAAAGGCAGTTCTTCGAAGAAGTTCAGGTCAAACCTAGTCAGAAACAAGCTGCATGAACCAGGATTGAAATGTCACAAGCTTGAATATTGACAAACATACTCACAGGGCTTGAGATTATTTGGATGGACTTTGAGGCACTGCGTATACCTTGTGGGCACCTCTTCCATGAGGATTGCGTCAAGGAGATCCTTCTGTATATGAAATGTGTTATGTTGCATGTCGGATCATGTCGGTTTGTCCTGCTCAGCTCTGCAATCTGAAGGTGCATTTCTGAGCCTAAATTACTGTAGATGTGATGTTATGATGTTCAGGGGGTGGCTTTTGGGTCTGTTAGGGTGTCTTGGGATCCTGTGCTAAAAGATAGAACTTGTTCTGTTACACAGCAATGAGACCATATTGGCAATCTGATTTCTCCTCTTGCAAAGGGAAAGACTGGATTCAACTCAGAGACCACGACCGAAGTCATCATCTGGGCAGCACATCTTTGCAGAGAAACCAGGGACGTCCAGACTCCAGGAATGGCTCAAGAAAAGTAACGAGTGCAGGTCACCCAGTGACGCAGCACCCAGAGGCACCATTAACTTCGAAAGAATGTTTGGAGGATTGCATGTCTAAGAAGAACACGAACTGTTTTGGAGGTCAGCTTGATTCAAGAAGCGGAACACGTGGCAAAAACTTTCCTTGGCTACAATTGATTTGTGATTGCACACATGAATTACACTTGTATTTGCTCCTTCCTTTGAGAGACTGAAGGGCCTCCGTCCAAGGTCCAGTTTGCCGCTGGGAGTTGCCCACAGATGATCAAAGCTACGAGAAAGGCCGTGCTGAGCGAATGGCAGGCACCAGATCCATCGCTATGGATTTGTTCTGAATTCTTCCAAGTAAGCCGGAACAGATTGTTGGGTTTTGTGCTGTGAGTCTGAGGTGAGCTGTAGGTCTCTGACCCGTGCTTCTATGCTTGACAAGGCCGCAAAGTTCGCCTCCATCAGACAGATTTGTCGGTCAAGACGGCGGCGGAGCCTGGGGCAATCCATGGCAAAGAGTTCAGACAATTTGCTCGTCATTTGCAGCACTTCCTTTGCTGGGCATGCATCTAGCGGAGTGCCAATAAATAAACTACTGTACCCAAGTGGACCAGTGCATATAGACTTGTGCATACCTGTGCAAACCATGATTTCGACAGCTTACAGGAGCTGCGGCGCCTCGCTCATTTTCTGGGCGTCGACGTGAAAGACTGCTTGGAGAAGGTGGCTGATGTCAAACACAAATACACTGCTGCATGCAAGTTTGGGGGTGCCAACGCTTTTAGGTTGGAGGCCATCGCTATTAGAGTCCTATTTGCTCTTTCTGCCAGCTGCACAGCACCAGTCCACAGATTTGGGAGCCAACGAAGTTTGAACCGCTTCCCTTGGAAGATGAAGAGATTTGCCAATAAAAGCTGTTTGATAAAACCTTTGATAGCTCCAAACTGATACACATGATTCCGGGTTGAGCCGGTCTACAGGGGGAGCTGGTGGAGAAGATCAGCCGATCGCCCCAGGCGTCAAATTGTGCAGCAACACTGCACCACTTCTTTGACACTTGCAGCCACTGCCGATCTTGGTATTCTTGAAAGGTTGCACTTTAGGGAGGCGTAGTCTATGCCCAGAATATACTGTTTGATCAATCTTCATTATTTGCAGACCCGCCCTACACAGAGCTGCACAGATATGGGCTTGATCCGGTTAGTATTCTGGTTTTAGGAGCAAGAAAGAAAGAGTTCCGCTCCAATGTTTCCTTGTCCTCCCCTCTTCTGGGCAGGTGCACATCATCTCAGCAGCGGAGGTGGGTAGCAGCGCGTAGGCGTAGCACAACTGTACGAGGAATTCCAGAGGATGGACTCATGCTGAAAGCTAACTATATAGCCGGCATTTCTTGACCAAGGAATTTGGCAGTAACAGCAATTTTCTTGTTCATAACTTGAGAGCAGGCAGATAATGGCTCCACCCCCTCCATGCCCAGGCGCTGGGGGTGTTTGTGAAACGGAAGCTTGAACATAAACATTTTCCCAAACTATGAGACACAGTAATTGATGCTGTTTCTTTTTGCTTTGAGGCTGGAAGAGCATGTCCTGTGATAGCAAAATAAGAAGCTTGATTGCCACGGATTCTTGTTTTTGAAGAGAATCGCATCAAACATCACCTTATGTAGGCCAACCTCTTGTACTTGCCTCTTTGATGCTTTCGAGAGTCTGTGAACATTGAATATCATCTCAATATTTTCCGATTCAGATTCCAGTGTTTGGCATGACACTTGTGCATTGAAAAACAGCGCCAGAGGCAACCTATGTTCTGCACTGAAGATCTCGCGAACATGGGTCTCAGTGACATCAAGGTGTGGATGAGCAAGGGAGAAGGGGCTTGGTTGGCTTGGCCGCTCTGTGCTGACGGTGGAGGGAACTCTGGCAACTCCTATGAGGCCATGTTGCATCAAGAGCGCAAGACAATTTCTATGGTTGATGAGTGGTTTGCCAAATATGGGGAAGACATGTGCAACAGCTTTACCGCACAATATCCATGCTTTTGTTTTGCGGATGGTCGGATAAAAGAACGCTCGAGTTTTTGGGAAGGCCATCATGGATCGGCTGTCTGTGAAGGGATCTTCTTCGAATGACAAGGCTCTGTTTGTTCGGCAGCACGGGGACGTGGTTGTGGGGGGCTGACAGTGGCTGGAGCAACGAAGCAATCGCTTGGTGGAGGTCAGATAGAAGCTGATGTACAACTTTGTGCGGTTATTCTCTTTTCCCGCAGAGCCATGACAGATGTCTCTGAATGTCTCACCAGTGCATTCGAAGAGTTCTAGTTACACTCGCCCAATTATATAAGCAATACCAACGACTGTAAATTGATGATAGATGATATAATGATAGATCCACTTTATCGCCATATTGCTATTTCCTTGCAGGAGGAGCTCATTGGACAACTTCGAACAGCTGGCCTTCTTCTAAGTGAAGAAGAGGCGAGGGCAAAAAGCCAAGGAGCTTCTCGAAAAGCATCACATGGCGATTCTACTGGCCAGACTCTGTTGGACCTCCGCCTTACTTTGAGATGCTGCAGGCTCACTCAAGACGAGAAGCCCAACAGCATGCGGACGTGGAGGTGCTTTCAATTTGCAGATTGATTTCGGAAGAGTATGCAACTCAGACATCCACAGCTGCCTGATTCAGCACAGTTCTCTCACATCATCAGTTTAGTTCGCTTGTATTTGTGCATAGATTGTAGAGTTTTGTATTGACTTTCTTAACTCTTGATCTGTGCCAGATGGAGCCAGCTGCGGCTCCAAGCCCACCCTTGGCTCAACGAAGCAGTGAACTCAATCCAGAAGAATCAAGCTAACATTAAATAACTGGGCCGCTTGCTTTTCTAAGTATTGCATGCACAGGGTCGGAAATCCGTCCTTTAAGTCTGATGTGTGACAGCCGTGAGGTGTTGGGCAACTAAAGAGCTTAGCAAAGGAGTTGGGGATCGCCTTGGATGGGTGCATAGAAAAGGCGCGAAACAAAGAGACACGAGAGAGCATGAAAGACAGGGGTGATTGCAATGGGCCTGCTAGACAGCTTGGAGGAAAACGCGATGGTGTTCTCTTGCTTGTGCGGTCACAGCACCAGCAGTTGTTTTTGACAAGTTAGGACCTGATCTCTTGTTCCGATGTGATGTGCAGTTGCGGCGAAACCCTGTCTGTGCCGCCTGAGTATGGGACGGACAGCCAGAAACCTCCCACCACTCTACCACCAGCTTGGAATGTGAGCTTTGTTGAGGCGGACATCGTCAATCGCATTGAAAGCTCACCTGCTTTCAAGTGTTGACCGTGAGTGCAAAAAGACAGTGTGGACAAGGTTACAAAGTTATTCTTTCGTCCCAAGATGCCAGACAAGAGAGGAACAATGTGAACATGAAGAGGCATTTTGTAGGTTGAAATTGCCATAAATTGCCAAAGTTTGAGATCCAGCTTTGCTCAACAGTCTATTGTAGAACCAATGCTTTGCTTTGCCAACCTTGAAACTGGGACTGAAGGACCAATAGGTTACTCTGCTTTGTCAATCGAATTTTGTTTCATGGCTGAAGTAAGCACGCGAGCTCTCAATCTAGAACAGTGAGCATGCGTTGCAGCGGAATATCAGGGTGAGACTCGTCCTGACTGCAAAGGGCACCAGACAGATGTCAGGTGCTCCATTCCTCAACACTAGCTTCATAACTCCACTCATCAAGTAGCTTGCACACCCAGCAAAAGAACTTGAGATTCCCATATTGACACCGATTGAAACCGGCTTCCCTTTGAACGGTGCCACAGTGTGGTGCATCAGCGACCACGGCGACCACCCTTAGCTCGGCATCTATGATGACCGGCTGCGAGCCGAATAGATCTCCAGCTGGGCTGCACTTGAAGGTGTTTGCCCCAAACCTTTCCATAAGGCGCAGAGCCATGGAAACAGCTTGGAATTTTCATGCGGGGGGGGGCTGTGACCCGGAGATGTGAAACTGCAGTCCGGTGATGCGCGTTGTCACTGAGAGTCCGATGCATCTTCCCGTGGAAACTTCTCCGGCACAGACTGTGATCTTCCAAGCCGCATCGCCGCATCTTTGCTTGGCAGCAAGGCCAAGTACCACCCATTACATTGGGGGCTGTGCAAAAGATTGCGAGGCTGCTTTTGATTGCATGGCTTTAGGTTTAGTTTAGAAGGTGGGATTTGGAAACGGAAATGCCATTGTCAATTCAGGAAACAAGAAACCGCTTGCAACGTTTCGAGCAGGCTGCAAAGGCTTGAGCTCCCAGAGTTTCCAAGCTAATCCAGAGATTCTGATGCTTTGCCTAACTTGAAATTCTCTGATCTTTCTCCAAGAAGAACGTGCCGTAGCCTTTGGCCCAGCGCAGCTCTCCAGCGCGCAGTGACCCCATGGCTCCAAGAAGTACCTTGGCCTGGTGCATCTCGGGGCATTCCGTGGTCGCTTTTTCAGCTTGTGGGCCCTTTTCACTCTGGTACAAGCCCATGGAGTAGGACAACATGGGAACACGCCAAACTGCTCTCTTGCAGATGCTGTTCCATCCCGTTCCTTCGTTTACTGGGAAGGAACATGGGTTTTCATTGGAACTAGACTCACTTCAACTGCGGTGCTGCTGAAAGGTAACCGCCGGCGTGGCCGGGATGGTGGGCGGCCAAGTCTGAAAATTTGTCACAACTTTACATTCTTCATCATTCTTGACTAGATCCCTCGACTGCGCGTCCAACAGAAAGTTGTCATGGATTCACGGATGTTCAGGTCTTTCCTATGGGCTTGTAGTGCATCAGTTTAGCGTTAAGGATGCTGCTTTTGGACCATGTGTTGTCGATGATGGAAATCCCAAGCGGTCCTATAGCTTTTGGATAGTTATACAATAGTTGCAGTTGCCCTGGTATGAATTTGTTTGAGTTGTCCCGTGTTCTGAGGCCACTGTGGTCGTGACGACCGCGGCAGGGAGAAGCCGGCATGTGAATTCCGCAAGGGCAAGGTTGTAAAACAACATTTTCCAGTCGCTTTTGTTGCCAGGAGCAATGAGCAGCAGAACAAAAAATGTAGCCTTCTCACTCGGGAGATCACTTTGAGGTTCATGTATTTGTGAACATCACTATTAGGTTGGAGGCCATCGCTATCATGTTGGAGGCCATTGCTTTTAGGTTGGAGGCCATCGGATGGAGGCCATCGCTTTTAGGTTGGAGGCCATCGCTTTTAGGTTGGAGGCCATTGATTTTTGGTTGGAGGCCATCGCCTTTAGGTTAAAGACAGTCGCTGTTTGGGTTGGAGGCCCTTGCTTTTTTATAAGTTGATTAATTTTAGGTTGGAGGCCGCTAACAGGCAAGTAACGAAAGTTACAATGCCTATCGACCAAGATGCCTCTTCGCACACGGGCCAGGACCGACGAGACGATCGCCGTGAGGTCGGAGCGGAAAAGAGTTCCCACTATTAGAGATCCATCGAGATCCTATGGTAACCGTAAGATGCCGTAAGATTCTCCTCTTGGAATTGAAGGCCTGAGTTGTTTTTTCAAGCTTTGTAAGCATTTCAGTATTCTTGGCTGAGCAAGCTTGACAATTGAGGGAAGACTTCAAAACATGAATCCCGAGTCAATATGAGGCAACGAGGTTTTGGTGGTGGAGGTCGAGGTGTCCCAGAATCAACTCCATTTACTGTATATTATATAAGTATAAGCAACTGTATAGTACTTTTCTGAAAGGGCACATGATATGCGTTGCAATCGGCAGTTGCTTCAATTTTGCCTCTATCAAACATTATCAAAGAGCAAACAGGGCTATACATATATATATATGATGTTTCCTGGTTCTCGGGCCCCTTTCCGGCTGGAGATCTCGTTTGTAACGCGGAGGCTCGAAGGAGCCGCAGCTCGTGGGATGCTCAGGGGGTTCACACCTTTTTTTTGTTGTGCAGTGAAAGGATACCTAGCTCGTTTAGCCCAAAGCACACCGACTCAAGGAGTTTTTAGGTGAAGAGCATAGGTTTCACAAAGTACAACTTCTAGCCAGACACACACACACACACTCGGGATAAGAGTACCTTCAGTCGGAATGCCACATGCCACACGGAAGCCTAGGTGGAAAAATGCCTCAATAAACCAGGTAGTATGTAAGACGGTCTAATCAGCGTTCAAAGGTTCCTCAAGATTGCAAGGGTCTCAATTGTCAAGATTGAAAGTGCGTGACGGCCGTGAGAGAACCGACGCAAAAGATTGTTCTAGCTACAAAGGGGCCACTGGGAAATATCGAGTCATCATGAGTCATCACGAGCAGGAGCAGGTGTGTAGTTGGACGTCTCCAAGCGTATCAGAGGTAAAAACTGATGAGTGCCTTTGTTAGCACCGGTCTCATCAGCACCTCCGGTGCCCCCTGCTAAAATGTTCTAACAACGTCAAATGCCAACTTGCTTTCTGTGACTCCAAGGGGAGGCGAAGTTTAAGCGCTCGGCGGTGCGTGAAACATGTGCGTGCAAACAACGACAAAACAGGATGAAAGGACATGAGAGGAAGACATGAGAGACACGCGCGATGTGGGCGGAGGCAATGAAGGGGAACCAAGTGAGAAGGGACCAACAGATGAGCCAAAGCTCATTATGAACACCTGGGGCACCTGACAGCCTAGTTTGGAAGTCCAGTAGCTCGTAGTTTGTTTAGTCCTTAATTAAGTTGGCGCCCACTTAATCAAGTAATGGACAACGACAAAACAAAGCAGATTGCATGTCTCGACAGAACAAGCTCTGAATAGCGCATCGGTAGAGTTGACTCACTGAGGAGACGAAGAGATCGTCGCAGGTCGCCAACGACGGAGCGCTTGCCAAGCAGAGCTGTTGTAGCGACCCAGCAAAACAAACTCGCCAAATCTCGCTCTCGACTTCTTGCTCGGCCTCAAATCCGAAGTGCCCATCCTGTCAAGGCTTCAAAGGTACAAATTGTTCGTGCCAACAGCACTGTTCAACGAGTGACCAGGAGCCACGAAAGCGACGGCGTCGCAGCCCAGAGACGGAGTGCCCATTTGGAGTGTGGTGCAAGAATGAACCATGGTTTGTTTGTGGCTTTGGAAAATGGATCTGGGGCTCGGAGTGCAAATGTTTTGTTTCCCTAAAATCTAGGAACCAAATCATTAGTGCGAGCGCTTCTTCAAGGAAGCTTCCCCCACCGCCTTTAGGGCGGTGGGGGGAGCTTCCTTCAAGAAGGGCGAGCTATCCTGCGTCCTGTCGGTAGTAGCGTTCTTGTGGCTACTACTAGCTACCTCGTCTCTACTAGTTACTTCTTACCTCTTAGCGGCCTACCCTCCCCCTTTAAAAACATATATATTTTTATAAATACCTTAACACAAACCGAAGAAAAGCTTCGCAGTTTCGCAGGTACAGCAGCAGTTCTGGCTCTGCTTCGTCCAGCGGTCGCGTGGTTGATGGGGTGCTGACGACTTTTTTTTTGCGTGTGTGTCTTTTTTTTACATTTCTTTATTTTTTTCGAAAGTCTGACAGTCTGACACTTTTCAGTTGTTTACTTTTTTTCCGACCAGCAATGCGTTTATAGCACTCTTGCGCATGGTCGATGCACTCCACTCTTGTCTTAGTCCATAAGAATCGTTGCTCACCTCCTGCCAGTTCCATTGTCCTACACTTCTTATCACGTGAGACAAACGAATCAATGGACCTGGCTGGGACCAACAAAACTGAAGGTAGCGGGGCGAAGAAGAAGTCCGCCGACTCAGACAAGGACCAACCGGTGCTTGTACTTTAAATCCAGTTGGTGGGATGCAGATGATGAGTCAAACACTTGGCATTTGGTCCTCCGAGTCCTCCATACAGTTGCTCGTCTCAGCACAAGGGAAATGGAATTATCTATTGGAATTACTACCAGCAAACAATACTTGTCGTTAATGTTTGTCTCGGGGAGCGGCTGAAGTGATGGACCCTTTTTGGGCTTTGGCTTGCTGCTTGCTTTCAGCTTGCTTTTGCACAGTAGAGACCTTGATTTGCACCCAGTTGTACTGTACCTTTTTTTCACGATACCCCTTCGCTGAGTGCTATAGAGGACGAGATCGTCCACTTCTCATGGTCCAAGGCCTGTCAATGAGGATGTGTAAGCCTGTACATGTTTGACATGTTTGACTCATATGTATATGTATAATATAGTTTGCTATTAGGTTGGAGGCCATCGCTATTGGGTTGGAGGCCGTTGCTTCCAGGTTGGAGGCCATCGTTGGAATCCTGGCCTCGCGGCTTGAGTCAAGGTCCCCCACATGGCTGCATTTCTGTTCAGAGAATTGTGTGGCAGGGGCAGAAGATGGGAGACAAGAAGGAGTGCGCTTCGCTGTCCTGGAATCCAATACCGTTGGTGGACGCTTTGACTGTCACAAGCTGTGATTCCGACTCCCGGCTTCTTCTTCTTCTTCTTCTTCTTTCAGAGCTTGCAACATTCTGCAGTGCAGGGGTGGTGTTTGCTTGCTGGAATTGCAACAGACGCAAGTTTTGTATAGTTTGGTGATCGCATTTCCGGAGTCGGGCTCATAGTTTTATAAGCTTTCTCTGGTTTTGCCGTGAGCCTTATCGCTGAGAATGGGCATTGAGACGATCTTGTGCAAAGCCGATAGAATCCACCAGGTATTCCAGATACCAGGTGCAGAAACTCCTTGGCGATGGCACGTTCGGCAGAGCAGCAGCCTTGGATGAGACAGCAGTGTGTCAGGTAAGGCCGTACAAAATAGCTACCTACGTATATAGGATTATATAGGTACTGTACATGGAGTCTATGGAGGCGTTTTGTTTTTGAGTCATGATGCTTGAACATGCCACAGTTTGCCACAGTGCCAGACCTGGGTGGTAGCAGCATTGGCTTGCCGTGTTCTGCTTGACTGTCAAAGTAAAGAATTCCTTGTTACTAGCAGTAGCTTCTTGCTACTAGTAGCGATGGCCTCCAACCTATATACTGTAATAGCGATGGCCTCCACCTAGTAGCTTATTGCTCCTATGGGGATGGGCTGTTTTGTTCGACTTGCTAAGCTCAGTGTTCCACATCGAAGGTCCTTTTGTGCCATGACTCCAAGCAGGATCAAGAGGCAAGATTTGCAAAAGGAGCAAACATGTTTTTTGGGGGTTCTCAGATGGGTGCAATTGTTGGGTTCGTTTTCTCTTGTTCAGCAACGCCCCCCGACACCCAATGCTCTTTGAGACAGCAGGTGGCCGTGAAGGTTATCCGGGATGTCCGCCGGTGAGGGGGCTCAGAGACGGCTTCTCTTGATACTCAAGAACCAACAGAAGCGTGAGGGGTGAGAGGGAGGGAGGGAAGGAGGAAAGGTCAGCACCCCCAAAAACGATACAGACAGGACCTGTCGAAGTAAAGCTTTGGCTCTGAGATGCTGTTTGAGTTGCTGTCAATTGTTTGCCATGGTGTGCGCTTGGCACGCCGTTCGCATTGCCACTGCACTTGCGGCTGCTTTCGTGGCTGAAGGGAGGCTACACCGAGATGGAGCGCTCCACTAGCTTTTAGATACTTACCCAACTGTGGAATTCTAGGATGGGCCAATAAAAAAGAAAGGAAGGAATAGGAAGCGAACTCTATGCATTGGGGACAAAGGGTAAATCTCAGTTGTGGAAACACGATTATTGCAGGACTTGCTCCCTCGGCCGGCTCCAAGACTCTTGGCATGCACTCATTTGCTTCCTTCCGTGGCTTGCTTCCTTCTTGGCAGAACATTGTGTGCAGAACATAAAAGCCTAAATGGGCCCACTTGTCAATCGGCTTCTATTTTATTCTATTTTGCGGTTCACGTCCTGTTGGCAGAACATTGTGTGTAACTACTCGTCAGTGGGCCGAAGTGGGCCTACTCGTCAGTCAGCCAATGGCTGCACACTACTGCAGGATTCCCAATCCATACGTCGAGTCCTTCAGTCAAAAGTTGGATCACTTCAACTATGAAGACCATCGGCAGCTGCTTGTAAGCCTTGTGGATGACAAAGCGGATTGCGTGCAGCTTTCCTTTTTCCGTTTTGGCTTCGGATAGCGGGCTGTTTTGCGAGAAAGAAGGATACGCATCAGTTCTTTTTACACCTACGTATTTATTCATACTATGACTAGTTGACGAGTGACTAGTTCCCAGATAGTTGGAATCTAGAGAGGCAGGCAGAAATCACTAAAGCACAAGCTTTCTTATCAGGCTTTGAACTATTTTGGGCCATTTGAACTGCATACTGACGCTTCAAGCTTATTGAACTGCTTTGGGTCAACATGGTTTTTGTTACGAGGTTCGTGACAAGGACCCTTCTCGTGTATATTTGCAGGCAAAGAGCTCCAGAGCGAAGACCTTTCAGGGGAGTTAAACAAAAGATAAGAAACATGACCTTACTACTAGGAGCAAAGGGTATCGCTACTAGGAGCAAAGGGCATCGCTACTAGGAGCAAAGAGCAAAGGGCATCCCTACTAGGAGCCAAGGGCATCGCTACTAGGAGCAAAGGGCATCGCTACTAGGAGCAAAGGGCATCCCTACTAGGAGCAAAGGGCATCGCTACTGGGAGCAAAGGGCATCGCTACTAGGAGCAAAGGGCAACGCTACTAGGAGCAAAGGGCATCGCTACTAGGAGCAAAGGGCATCGCTACTAGGAGCAAGGACGCTACTAGGACCCAGATTGAAGGTTCACTCAGCGCTACTTTGTCTACAATGCCAGCTTTCGACCTGGTGGGCCACTGTTCTTTTACACGGGCAACGAAGGCACCCCGGCACTGGGACCTCATTTTCTGACATGAATTGCAGTATGGTGCTCAGGTGTACACACACATACCAATCCTGATAGAAGCATGAGGAAGCCCAGGGCTTTCGTGTCGCCTGGCCGGTAGCGAACTTCAGCTTCCCAGAATCAGCTGGACTTCTTGTTTGGAAGACATAGTTCTTCTTATGGGATATGCCTTCGTTTGGGTGCCAGCAAAGCTCCCCACGTGGTCAAGTGGGAAACTTTGTCTCTCGGAGCCCTGGTCGTCCATGTTCCAGGACCCTTGGAATCTTTCTACTACAACACTGGCCTTCCCTTCGATTGGGCCCCCAGCTTCAATGCGCTCATCGTCTTTGGGGAGCACAGGCGATCTGCTTGAAATTCTAGCTGGCCTTGACGGCCTTCTCACTTGGCGGGTGCCAATATATACGTGTGTAGATTGGATAGACGGCAAACTATAGCCTACTGCCTAGAAATCAAATGTTTGGACTGTTTGTTTGTCCCACAGAGTGGGTTGTGATGCTAGCATCAACTTTGCCTCCCTTTCTTTGCCAGGTACTATGGAAAGACCTTGCCTTTTGGAGATGCATCCTTTGACAAGGACCCTTCAAGAGAATATATACTAGCATCAACTGAGACAGGTTTGCCAAGAAGTGTGTTGTTGACCCACAGTTCGGATTGTTGCACAAGGCTTTGAAGTTCTAGTTGATTTTTGGATTGTGATTCCTTTGGAAGGATCTATTTTGGCGAGAATTACAATCCATACAGAGCGGATATACTTTCTTGATCTTGGCTTCTGATGGCCTCATGGCTTTTGTTTGCTGGTAGCATTTGTTGGCTTCTGGTGGCTCTTAATGGCTCCGGGTATTGGCTTTTAGTCACATCCGGTGGCTTCTTAAACCTTTTAGTCGCATTGTTCCTCGTGAAGTCGCTGCGCCCTCCCCTCCTGGAGGATTCTCAAAAAATAATTGCTGAAGGATTGTCATTCTTTCGCCAGGAGAACCTTGGCTTCTTGTCGATCTCACAAGCATTAGCCGACTATGCCATGCTTGTGAGGCATGTCCAGGCAAGACAACATGTTGCAGATGTCTTTAGTCTTGTGCAGTGTGGCGTGATACTCTGTAGGTGTTCTGCAACATGATCTAGTGACAATCGCTGGAATTCCATTGAAACATGTCTGCAGCTTTAGAGGCTGCCAAATGGCCTGTACCTCTTGGAATGCTTGTTGGAGGAACACAAAAAACACTATATACATATATGATATGTTATATGTATATACAGTATATACAATACAAGTGTGTTCAGTAGCTCAATTGAAAGACGCTGAGCTACCCACCCCAACCCTTCGCCGTGGTCCAGGCAACCTATGACATCAGTGCCGTGGTGGCCCTAGGCGGTTCTTATGGAGGAGGGAGTGCGCTGGGAGTGCTCAGTAGCATATTGTGATTTGCAGTGCAAACTTGTACGGTACCGGCCACATATACAGTATCGAGTTGTGTTAAGTCTTGTCGTGGGAGCTAGAGGCTACAGGTGCACAAAACGTTCTAGAGTCATGCGGGGTCCTTGTAGCGATAGATGCAAAGGCAAAAGCATCCTTTTCGACTGGATGCCCGCCATTCACTAGTCAGTATGTAATGTATGATTTGTATGGCGTGGTTTGTGTTGCAACTGTTTTTGTGGAAAAGCTCCTTTGCCTTTGTCTCAAATGACCTTGACTTTTAGCCTTTAGCGATCTGTTGACAGATTGTACCATGATGGCATTGTCACAGGCATGCTGTCTGCATGGGCGCGCATCAAATACCCGAATGTCTTCGACATGGCGCTGGCAGCCTCCGCACCCATTCCCCAGGGTGTGAACCTCATTGACTCTAGGTCACATCAGACTTTCCTGACATGCATTCAGTATTTCAGGACTTCAAGGGACAAGGTTGGGTGGAGGTACCGCCGGGGGATGCAGCTGTGTTTGCGACCGACTTTTGTTTAGGTTATGGCATACTCGCTTTTGTATCAATCTGAGACTCTGTGCCAGCTGCTTGCAAGGAAGACAAGTCGACCTTTTACAGAATCGTGACAGACTCTGCTCGTTCTTTGGGCAGCAGTTGAGGCTAGGGAAAGCCGAGGTACGGCTAGAGAAGTGCTCCGTGCCGCGGGTATGCTAAGGTCTTGTGTAATGAGCGACTCTTCTTGGTGATGTCCAATGGCACGGGCTCCACTCTGTCTGCTCTTGCCCAGGTAAAGCGCACGCCAAATGCCCAGGCGCCGTTCGGAGCGCCTTCAGTGAGATCATTCAAAAAGCAAGCTCGATGGAGGGTTTGAAGCAAATCAGCCACTTGGTTGCAGATGGCAGATGGTAGGTAGCTTTCCACTTTGCGGATCTGGCACGGAGATCCCTACCTTTCAGGGGCATATACAATTTATTCCTATACACAGGGACATCTAGGAAGCAATGTTTGAGCGTATACCCTTAAGCTCTCACCACTGATTCTTAGGTGACACCTTCCAACTCTGCAAGGGCATGAACGCCTCCGAACTGGACCACTTCCTGCAGCGGCTCATTGCAAAAAGACCTGCACTGATAAATGATGCCTCCACCCTAGTAGCTTCTTGTTACTAGTAGCGATGGCCTCCAACCTACTTGCGATAGCCTCCACCTAATAGCGTCCTTGTTACTATATGTGTGTGTGTGTGCACTTGATTTACAATGTAGGGAAGTTGGGCGCTAATTGCCTCTCCCCTTCCGTTCACTCCATTTGAGTATTAAAAGTACTATCCTTATTGCAGTGTCCTTTTGCACTTGAGGTATGTCAGAAATGCCTGGACGGTGGAGCTCTCAGTCAGAGCTCAGAAGATTGCTTTGTCCAACTCCCGGTGCCGTTGTAACTCATATAAGATTACACCCTGCTGAGGAGATGGCGATGTGCGGCTTGGATGAGGGTTTGGCTGTTTCCGACTTGCTTTGCTACTTCATACCACTGACTGCTTAAGCATGGCAGCATAGGCTAGGGATGTGGAGGTTTGTGCCACATGCGCCTTCGTATCATCATGTTGCCTGCCACAAATCACCAAATTACACTTCGCTGCATCAGATGTCACCAGGCACCACATCATCATTGCAACATTGCAGTTCACCTCAAAATTCACCACAGCACAAATCATCACCACAGCTTCCGCGCCTGCCTGGCCGGGGGTGCTTTTTTGAAGTACACTCCGGGAATCGGAAGATGACCTACAAGACTAGGTCAGACTCGGTCAGACTAGCTTCTTTTACAGAGGGCACAGACCAATTTTCCCGTTTGGGTCCGTCGGAGTGTACTCTCAAGATGCTGCAGAGTTGAAGGTTGCTTCAGCGGCCACGTCAGAACTCAGGTAACTATCCGTACCCTTCCTCCTTTTTGGCACCGCTACCTGCGTGGCCGATGGCTGCAGCTTGCGAGAAAGTCCTGAACGCGACGCAACCGATCCAAGGCGCATCTTGGGTTGGGTTGATTTTCCATTTATAGCTGTCTATATATACCTTTGAAGCGTTTATAAGCGTTTCAAGGCCCTTTCATTTTCATTTCCACAAAAGTAGCCTTTGCCAGTGAACGTGTGGAAAAATGCATCGAACTAGTCTTTTGGGCTGCTGGGGGTCGATGCCCTTTGCCGACACGACATGGTCAGATCCAGACTTTAAACCAATTTGGCAAAGTTCGGCCGAAGGCCTTGCTGATGCCGTATCCCTGCTGTACCACCAGCCGAACCAGACCTGCTTTGATATGTGCGCCTCTATCAGCGCTGACTTGAAGTTTCAAGAAGGTTTCCAAGTATGTCTAGTTTCACGGCAACACGTACAAAGAATGGACGGGTTTGCTGAGAGACGCGCACTGGTCCGAAGCAAAGAACACAAAGTACTCGATTGGAATATAGACTGACTTCGCAAGTAAGTAACGCAAGACATATAAAGTCAGCATTTTTTATTTTCAAACATACCCGACATAATTTGGGTTGTAGCAGGACCGCAGGCCGCAGGACCCCCCTGTTTGAGACATGAGACTCAGACGTAGGCGCAAGAGACCTGCATCCGTTCACGGCAGTTCACATCAGTTCACTGTGTTCAGATGTTCTTGCATAGAAACGGGTGACGTATTTTCACAAACAGCTTTACTGTGAGGGGTTCGCAATTCTTGCATAGATCCCTGGCTTTTTGTTTCCATCTCCCTTGTCTTCTGGATGCCTGGCCAAGATGGTTGTGCTTTGAGCCCCTTTGTCGGCCCATGGCTCTTCTGGATGCTGGGCTGAGACAGCTTTTTCTTCCTTTGTCTCCCATGGCTCTTCTTCTTGGACGTTCAATCCAAATATTTGAAGCTCCTCCTTTTCATTGGGAATGACCTGGCTTGACCGTTGTGCTTTTGGTTCACTGGGGTTGGGCACTGCAACTACCGCTGCTGTTCGATGGTGGTGTAGTTTATTCCCGAATGCTTAGCAAAGGGTTCTCGTTTCACTCTGGGGGTCTGGGGGTAGAGCCTTGTTCGCGTCTCGTGGTCTGAGCGTTCGCAACCGTTGTCAACCGAAAGCAACCGTCCGCAACCGTTCGCGGTAGGGCGCTAAGGCGCTCACATTGGGTGAAGCTTTTTGGAGAGGGTTTCGGATGGAAACGTGCCGTGCGAGATTCATGTGAAATAGCGAGGAAACGTGTGGAAACGTAAGACGTTGAAGTGTGGAGGATGATTTCACTGCGCAGGCGCAGCGTTTTGTGAGATCCGCAGTTTTCTGCGCAGTCACATTGGGATTGGCGTTTGGAGGGTGGTGTTTTTGGGGTGTTGGATGTGACATTGGGATTTGCGTTTCAGGCTGTTGCTTTGAAGCGGTGTTTTCGTGACAAGTCTCAGCTCAAATGGTGATTTTGGTGGATGGGCGTGCGCTCAGAACGTTTCGAAATCATTCCAAACGTGTGGTGTGGTGCAAATTTTCTTGAAGCTAACATGATATGATATTGTCACTTTTGGTGGCAGGCGCAGTACTTTGCGCGGGCTTTGAGGTGTGGAAGTGCAATTTTCGTGGCAGGTGCAGGGAATCGTGAGGTTGCGGGGTGTGGCGGAGATCGCATTTCGTGGCAGGCGCAGTACTCTGTGCGAGTTGCAAAACTTTGTGGCAGGCCCAGGGAATCGTGAGGTTACGAGTTGTGGTCGAGGTGAATGTCGCCGTGACATTGTGATGGGCGTGTGACCTTGGAGTCGCGAAACTGCTCGGCAGGGCTGCTTGATCTGTATGCTCTGACGGCCTTGCCGCTTGACTTTTGGAGGAAGTCTCGTACGAAATGCTCGTTTTGGAGACTTTGCCATGTGACTTTTGGAGGCAGTCTCGTACGAAACGCTCGTTTTGGAGGATTGACGCGTGACGGAGGAAGTTTCGTACGAAACGCTCGCTTTGCAGACTCGAAGTGCGAGTTTTTGACGAAGTCTCGTACGAAACGCTCGCTTTGGAGGATTGACGCGTGACTTTTGGAGGAAGTCTCGTACGAAGCGCTTGTTTTGCAGACTCGAAGCGTGAGTTTTTGAGGATGTCTCGTCGTACGAAACCCTCGTTTTGGAGGGTTGACGCGTGAATTTTGGAGGAAGTCTTGCGAACCGCTCGCTTTGCAGACTTGAAGTGTGAGTTTTTGAGGAGGTCTCGTACGAAACGCTAGTTCCCACAACAGTCCCACAAGAGTGTCCCACAACAGTGTCCTCCACAGTCCTACAGGAGTCCCCTACAAGAGTGTCCCACAAGAGTACCCGACAAGAGTGCCCCACAAGAGTGTCCCACAAGGTTCCATAAGAGTGTGTCCTACAACAGTACCCGCAAGAGTGTCCGACGAGAGTGTCCTACAAGAGTGTCCTACAAGGGTGTCCCACAAGAGTCTCTCACAAGAGTGTCGGACGAGAGTATCCAACAGGAGTGTCCTACAAGAGCGCCCCACAAGAGTGTCCCGCAAGAGTGTCCTACAAGAGTGTCCTACAAGGGTGACCCACAAGAGTCTCCCACAAGAATGTCCCACAAGAGTGTCCCACAAGAGTGTCCCACCACAGCTTTTCTACAAGAGTGTTGGACAAGAGTGTCCCGCAAGAGTGTCCCATAAGAGTGTCCGACAAGAGTGTCCTACAATGCCCCACAAGAGTGTCCCCCAAGAGTGTCTGACAAGAGTGTCCTACCTAAAGGGTGTCCGACACGAGTCTCCCAGAATAGTGTCTCACAAGAGTGTCCGACAAGAGTGTCGTACAAGAGTGTCCCACCAGAGTTTCCCACAGAGCGTCTTACAAGAGAGTGTTCCATAAAAGCGTCTGACAAGAGTGTCCTACAAGAGTGTCCCACAAGAGTCTCCTACAAGAGTGTCCGGCAAGAGTGCCCCACAAGACTTTTCCACAAGAGTGTCCCGCGAGATTGACCGACAAGAGTGTCCCACAAGAGTGGCTGACATGAGTGTCCTACAAGAGTGTCCCACAAGAGTGTCCTACAAGAGTGTCCCACAAGACTTTTCCGCCAGAGTGTCCTGCAAGAGTGGCCGACAAGAGTGGCCTACAAGAGTGTCCCACAAGAGTGTCCCACAAGAGTGTCCCACAAGAGTGTCCCACAAGACTTTTCCACCAGAGTGTCCTGCAAGAGTGGCCGACAAGAGTGGCGTACAAGAGTGTCCCACAAGAGTGTCCCACAAGAGTGGCTGACAAGAGTGTCTCGTACGAAATGCTCGTTTTGGAAACTTTGCCATGTGACTTTTGGAGGAAGTCTCGTTGGCCACACAGCCAAAAGAGACGAAGGGAGGACAAATATATGTGTTGAAACTTTGCTTCCCAAGACCAAGCATTTCCAAGCCTTCTAAACGCCGGTGCCCTTATATTATGTTGATATGTGCTTGCTTATTGGCAGAGCCTTGCATTTTGTTTGACATGAAACAAAGATGTCACCATCATTCAGACCACGTTTCTTGCATCAACAATCACATCACAAAACTGTTGGGAATGTGTGGCGTGAGGAACATGGAAAGCAGGACGTTGTGTGAGGTACACGATCTTTGTAGAGTGCGCTGACCAGACTGGTTGCGGGACAGGACCAGCTTCAAGGGCTTGGGATTACCAGATGTGTTCCTTGGCCCTAAGCAGCGAGTATGCCAAAAAACTAAATCCATGTTTATGTTTGTCTCATTCCAGCCAATACCTTAACAGCAGCGCTGAGACGTTTTGCGACAATACAGTGAGTCGTTTGTGCCATTGTTTTGCTCTAATTTACTAATTGTTTCTTGGCAGCTTGAGGCACAGAGATCTTTTACGAGCAGAACACCAACAATGTCAGCGACATGTTTCCCCCAAGGCTGGCTCAGCAACTTGCGATGCCCCACCTCACGAGTGTGATGAGCTTGACGGGGGTTCATGGTCAATGGAGCGAACTGACACTGAATTGAAAACAAACATTTTTTTGGCCAGATCTCCCTACTTAGCAATGCTAGGCCCAACTTGAGGGAAATCCAGCCGGGATTGGCAAGCCTGTGTTTGCCAGGAACTGGACAATGGAGAAACTGAACCGCTACTGCAGCAAACACTATGGTGTGAAGCCAGACCCAGTCCTGAATCGATTACAGTCCTTCGCTCAGAGTGATGCGAACAAGATTGGCTGAAGTAGTCAATGGGCGTGCTTTTTGCGTTACACGCATGTGCCCATACATTGCACTTTGCTTCAATAGGAGGACACATCACAAACAACACACAGAAGGCAGATCTAGGTCGAGCCCGCACGCCCATGACCAAAGCCAAATGAACTCAGGCTCGGTGGGATTAACATGACAAGATCCGCCTCGAAGATCATTTTCTCCAATGGTTTGTTGGATCCTTGGCACGGAGGCCTCCATTGTGCATGGAAAATATCGCCATTTTGACGTCTTATATTTCACTGTACTCCACGAATATGAATTTCCTATAATGTCCTGACGCAGTTTGCAAGCACTTGACTTCCTGCCTTCCAGCATCGCCATGCGAATTAGTAACAGGTGGGTACCTCAACGACCAGGGGCCAACTTTGCCAGCCGTTGTGATAAAACTTGGCGTAACATGGCTGAACAAATACCGATGTGAGTGATTTTGTGCTTCCGTGGAGGCAAGACGAGAAAACCAGATGTGACATGAGGCCAACTCCATGTTTGTTCACATTATATATTGATGATTTTCAGAGACTAAATCACAACACATGTTAGGAGTCTGCATTTGACTATATATAATGACGTAGTGAATTTCACGTCCGTTCTTGTCGCGTCCATTTTCACAAACAAAGACACTTCATTCTGCACGTCTCTGTGATAGAATTTTCAGTTCAGCAGATACGAATGGTACGACTTTCAGGACACAGAACCTAGTCCGATTGTCTTCTGATTCCATGCCCAGTTGTTGTGTTCAAGGCACATCATTTGGATCTCCGAGAAGCCAACCCAGAAGATCCCCAGTCCGTGTTGACCGCACGCCAGGAGGATGGGTTTCTCCAAGCCCTGAAGAAGTGCGAGTGATAATAAGTAAGCAGGAGAGAAGGAGTAAGACTGACTAAGATAGGATGAACTGGTAGCAAGGAACTGATAAACAGATAAAGTTTGATGTCTCAACACTATGTCGGACCGTAGTCGCTTGACTTAACAGGCCGGCCGACTTTCAAACAGCAATGCTTGAAGCACTTCAACGGTTTGCTAAGCCGGCATTGTGGTAGCTTTGTCGTGGTCTTCTGGGTCTGGTAAGTCTTGTGCCAGAAGGATAGCTTCGGTTGTCAGGCATGAACAGCAGCTCTGTGGATCTCGCTCTCAGGAGAAGCGCCTCATTGGTCTTTGGCTCTCTGAGAGCCAAGGCCTTTGTGATGGGCAGAGCCGGCAGAGCCAAAATGGAAGCGATGCACCTTTCAGCCCGGTAATGATGGCTGGGGAACCAAGAATTGATCGGCTTTAAATGGTCACAAGGAGCCACAAAAGTGTTGCAAACAGTCTTTTTGCAGTGGAACTGGGGGAATGCAGCTGACCTTCTCACAGGACATGCAAGATGGATCACGATGTGCTGAGTCGCTGCATTGGAATCATGTCAATAATGTCCTTTCTTTTGATGCCAAGGCCTGCATGGCTGCCTTTGCTTCTGGAGTTGCTTTGGCCTCCACTGCCAATCATTGCAAGCGGCGTTTTTATTCCAGAGAGAAGGAGCCTTGAAATGGGATCAGCCGTTTGGTAGTTTTTCCATTGGATCCTGGTGTATAGCCTTGACATGTGAGCAGCTTCAGACAACTTGAGAGCATTTGTTTGGCGCATGTTTGCCAGGATGCACAGATGATGGAGGCTTTGCGGAGGCATGACATGCCATTTACCAGGGTTATATATATATAGTGCCTTGCAACCAAGAGCTATGACGTGGAAGTAGCTGAACCTTCCAGTGGTCTTGCATGATGGAACCGATCTCATCTGTCCTTTTCTGCCCGTGCAAGGAAGCTTTGATTGAGATTAAAATTGATGATGTATACAAATGACATACAGTATATTATATGAAAGAACAGTGGATCACACTAGCAAGATTGAGATTTTCCGATTCGGATCTCTGCGGCGATCTGTCAGGTCTGTGTGATCGCCGGTCCGAACCCCTCATCCGCAGGAGTCCAAGAGGATACTGCAACCGCCTAAATCAGCGAAGACCAATTTACAGTAAAAAGTCCAGAGCAGTCGTGGGAGATCCTGTACTTGGAAAAAAGATATTGTATGCCCCCTTCAAGAGCGACACAGCGAAACCATGTCGCTTTGGACAAATTCACGGCCCGAAAAAGCGACAGGCCCCCCCCTCCAAAGCGGTTTACAATTCGCCTTGGAATCACCAAAAACAACCCCACTCAGCTATTTGCGAACAAATGTGCTCTTGGGTTTAAGTCCATGATCTTCAAAGATTGCCCGAGTAAGGCCTCGGAAAAGATCGTCGAACTTGTCGTTGTCTCTGTGATAGAGCTAGCAGCAAAGGATGTTAGCACAGGCCTTGCGTGGGTCTGCTAAACTTGACGTTTCTGGAGCAGAAGGTGATTTTACATGCCTTCAATTCATGTTGCCAACTTAGCTTTGCGCACAGCTCTGAGAAAAAGGCCTGTGCTGCACAAACGGGCCGAGCATGCCAGGTGAAATTCAAGATCCCATGTCGGTCGAAGTGGATCAATCTGGACCAAGAGCAAAGACCTTCAGCATGCCGACCACTGCCATTGGATCCACTCTAGGTTGGTGGAACCGCTTCTCAACAATGTTCCATCTTCGGGGTTTTGTTTCGGAGAAAAGGTCCTGTTACTCCCAGAATGTTGCTTTCGTTGAGGTATGCTGAAAATGCAAAGATCGAAGCCGACATTCTTCGGGACCGGAAAGCAGAAAGGATTTACTCTGGCCGTTGACACAACTCACACAACTCACTGTTCCTGCGCCTGTGCCTCTTTGTCAAGCTCGTATTTTTGAGTTTTTTGCAATCGATCGTTTACAGTCCACTCTAGCCAAGCTGCATTCTTTGAAGCAGTTGTGTAGAAAGCAGAATTCATGAAACATGGAACCAATGATTGTGATGGCAGTTTGTTGAACGGGCACATTGGCCTTCTTGCGAAGGATATCAAGAAAGCAGACCCGCACGGCAAGAGGACAAGGACAAGAGGGCTCTACTAAAACTTTCAGATCATGGATTCGGATTCCGAGCCTATTCTAAGCTGGAACATGCTTGAACATGCTTGAACCATGTCAGTAATTTCTTGCAGAGGTGAGAGCGCTGTGCGTTTCTTGCCTGAGCTGTGGGGCTGACCAATGAATCCGTGGCAGGAGTGCGATCATGTTTGACACATTCCTGTTCAACGCGTGCACTGGACGTGTTTGGGTTGGTTGGCCTGTTTGCATATGAGACCTTAGGCTGGAGGCGACAAGGAGCCAGAATGAGCCAAGTTGAGCTGATTCACAGCACTGTTTGACCATATCTGACCATCGGAATAGGTGCATGTGTTGAACATATAATATATATAAATCACCAAGAATCTCAGAGAATATCAAGAATTGAATGAGACCAGAGTGCTATGGATGTTCAGGTGAAGAGGAGAGACATGGTTGTTGTTGTTGTTGCTGCTGCTGCTGCTTCTCAGTGAGCATTGCAGACATGCAATGAACCGCAGACATTCTGCACCCCGTGTGTGCAAATCCTTCAAGTATAGGTACAACAGGTCCTTTAGATTCCTTTAATCCGTGAACATGCTACAATGCATGCTCACAACAATGCAGACATTTTGTGCTTCTTTCTTGACAGGCACTTTTGCCTCGTCTTCGAGGTGTGTGGCTGCTCTCTGTACGATTTTCTCAAAGAGTTGCTTGGAAACAACGCTGAATGCAGGGTTATGCAGTCGACCACTTCAATTTACTACTAGGTATTCACCCTTGCCTTGGGGTTTATTTGTTCCGCAGCTAACACCGTAGGGCCCAAATTTTATGCATACAAGCATGGATGCGCCGTTTTAATACTTCAATCGCATCGGCACTCAGGAACAACTTCCGAGGCTTTTGGATGCAGGACGGTATGATAAGGGGAGGCGCTTTTCATGAAGGCAAACCAAGACTCAGCTTTAGGTTGCTTCTGATAACAAAGCTGATTTGCTTATTAGGCTGGTACTTGTAGAATAGATAGTATCAACCACACGGTATTTGTATACATGTGGCTGTTGTATGTACTGTACCGAGTGCGCAGCGCAGACAACCCCCCTCCAGCTTTGGGCGTCTCTATGCAAGGTTGAACAGCTTTAAGGCTTGTATCTATATAGACCAGCGAATGCAAATAGAACTTGCAACTGCAGTATTTTTGCTTGTTTGCACGAACAATGAAACGCAATGAATTGCGAGCGCAAGTTTCCCCCCCCAGCATCCATTTGAGGCTCCATTTGGAAAGGAGGGTAGTTAGTGTCAGGAAACCGTTCAATTTTTGTTCACAGGGGCTTGATGATCTCGGCACTAGGTTAGATGGATAGACCGAAATTGAAGGACTTCTTGCAGCACAAAGCTCGTTGCAGGACATCCAACACTTTGCAGAGCAATCGCTCGACGCTTTGGGGTTCTTGCACAGCCGGCTGCAGGTGTGGCCATTCTTGAGACGTATTTAGTGTTGTTCCAATGTATGGCAATTTGAGAGCTTTCTTTTAGGAGCAAGGACGCTACTAGGAACAAATGCATCGCTACTAGTAACAAGTGCCTTACCAGTAGTAACAAGAAGCTACTAGGGGCTCTTGGCCTTACTACTAGAAGCGCGTCTGGCCAGATGACCCACACAGACCTAAAGCCAGAGAACATTCTCTTGGCGGCCAATGCGCCACCGCGCCGGAGCGACTTTCCAAGGGAAGCTGCCTGGCAGGAGACCATGCAGAGTGAAAGGTGCAGTCTGAATCAGACCGTGCTTAGAGTCTGCCTAGTAGCTACTTGCTCCTACTGCTGCCAGGAGCCCCTAGTAGCGTCCTTGCTCCTAGTAGCGATGCCAGGAGCCCCTAGTAGCCACTTGCTCCTAGTAGTGGGTCGGCCAAATTCGATGACCCTTCTAGATCTTTGAAGTGCCTTTCGACTCCGCAGGCTCGCTCGCACAACTGGTGGGCGCGAGCAGGGGCTTTCCGCAACTGCGCTCTCGTTTTAGTGCCGTGCACAATTTTAGACTTGGTGGTGACTGTTCGTGGCGGGAACAAGGAAATCCTTGTGTTTTGGTAGTCTGAAGTGACAAGTCGGCTTTTCGTGGGAGGTGCAGGAGATGGGAGCCATTCTACTTCGATGTGTAGGTTTCGTGGCAGGTACAGAGGAGGGAGTGTAATACCCACAGCACGCCCTTTAGGAGCCACAGCAACAACCGGTCTTCCCCAACAAGACAACACCCTTTCCCCCGATAACAGAAAAATCCGCGACAACCGTACCCCCACGAACCCCCCGACAACAGAGAACGTATGGCTGATGTTTTTTTCAGTTCCTCTATTTTTCATGCTGTGGCTCCACCCTTCACATTGACCAGCAAATGCCCATAGGGTCAAACAAAGGGTGCCTGAGAAGACACTGAAGAGCCGGCAAAGTGACGATCCCGGACACGGTGAAGCTGTTTCATCATCATCATCATCATCACCATCATCATCATCATCGTCATCACCATCATCATCATCATCACAGTAGCATTGTATGTGCCCGTGTGCCTGTCGAGGTTGGCGTGCCCAGGTGCAAGGTCAGAATCATGCTCACCATGATCGTCATCAGCGCCATCGCCTTGAATATACAATTCTTACCGTTGTCGTGGCCCTCACCTTCATCCTGAGTCCATGTGACCATGGATTGCGACCGTCCAGGTGTGGCAGCAAAGCTAAGTCGTCATTATCATTGTGAGTAGCGTTGTAATGGGAATGATTATTAACATTGTGTGTCCATGTGACCGTGGGCAGTGACAATGCCTGGGTGCCAGTGTATATAATGTATATATGGTTGTCGATCTAAAGGTCCTAGACAGCATTGTGTATGACGATGACCCGGAACATATCAAAATCTACTTTGGCGAAAGTTTCTTCTCGAGTTGGCGAAAGTAATTTGTTTTGGCGAAAGATCTGGCGAAAGATTAAATATGTACTTTTGTATGAATGTTCATTTGCTTCCTGAACAGCTGGTGGCAGTGACTCAGAAGTTAGATGAGCTGTGGAAGTTAGATAACCTGCTGCTGCTGCGGCTACTACTACTACTACTACTACTACTACTACTACTACTACTACTTACTACTTACTACTTACTACTTACTACTTACTACTTACTACTTACTACGTACTACGTACTACATACTACATACTACATACTACGTACTACGTACTACGTACTGCTTACTGCTTACTGCTTACTACTTACTACTTACTACTACTTACTACTACTTACTACTACTTACTACTACT